TATCAAGGAAAAAAAAAAAAAAAAAAAAAAAAAGAATTCAATCCCATTTACAATATTCACAAAGGAAATAAAATACCTAGAAATACATCTAACCAACGAGGTGAAAGATCTCTACAAGGAGAACTGTGAAACACTGCTCAAAGAAATCACAAATGATATAAACAAATAGAAAAACATTCCATGCTCATGGATTGGAAGATTAGTATCATTAAAATGGCCACACTGTCCAAAGCAATCTACAGATTCAATGCTATTCTTATCAAACTACCAATGTCATTTTTCACAGGACTAGGAAAAACTATTCTAAAATGCATATGGAACCAAAAGGGAGCCCAAATAGCTAAAGCAATTCTATGCAGAAAGAACGAAGTTGGAAGTTGGAAGCATCACGTTACCTGAATTCAAAATATAAAGCTAACATAGCCAAAACAGCATGGTACTGGTAAAAAAACAACAAAACACACACACACACACACACACACACACACACACACACACACGCCCCAGTGGAACAGAATAGAGAACCCAGAAATAAAGCCACATACCTACAGGCATCTGATATTCGACAAAGTCCACAAAAATAGGCAGTGGGGAAAGGACTCCCTATTCAACAAATGGTATTAGGATAGCTGGCTAGCTGTATGCAGAAGAATGAACCTGGACCTTTACTTTGTTTATTTTTTTTGAGATGGCGTTTCACTCTGTCGCTCAGGCTGGCGTGCGGTGGCACGATCTCAGCTCACTGCAACCTCCTGGGTTCAAGCGCTTCTCCTGCCTCAGCCTCCCAAGTAGCTGGGATTACACGTGTGCTCCACCACGCCTGGCTAATTTTTGTATTTTTGGTAGTGATAGGGTTTCAGCATGTTGGTCAGACTGGTCTCGAACTCCTGAGCTCAAGTGATCCACTGGCCTCAGCCTCCCAAAGTGCTAGGATTACAGGCATGAACCACCAAGCCCAGCTGTGGACCTTTAGTTTTCACCATATAAAAACATTAACTGAAGATGGATTAAAGATTTCAGTTTAAGACCTTGTCTGGGCACTGTGGCTCATGCCTATAATCCCAGCACTTTGGGATCACCTGAGGTTAGGAGTTCAAGACCAGCCTGACCAACATGGTGAAAACCTGTATCTACAAAAATGAAAAAAAAAAAAAAAAAAAAAAAAAAAAAAAAAAAAAAATTAGGCGTGGTGGCAAATGCCTGTAGTCCTAGTTATTTGGGAGGCTGAGGCGGAAGTATCACTTGAACTCAAGAGGCAGAGGTTGCAGTGAGCCAAGATCACGCCACTACACTCCAGCCTGGGAGACAGAAGTAGATTTCATCTCAAAAAAAGTAAATGTGGCCAGGCGCGATGGCTCATTCCTGCAATCCCAGCACTTTGGGAGGCCGAGGAGGTAGAACATGAGGTCAGGGGATTGAGATCATCCTGACTCACACAGTGAAACCCCGTCTCTTCTAAAAATACAAAAAATCAGCCGGGCATGGTGGTGCGCGCCTGTGGTCCCAGCTACTTGGGAGGCTGAGGTGGGAGAATCACTTGAACCCGGGAAGCGGAGGTTGCAGTGAGCTGAGATCACACCAGTGCACTCCAGCCTGGGTGACAGAGCGAGACTCCATCTCAAAATTAATAAATGTAAGACCTCAAACTATAAGAATCCTGCAAGACAACCAAGAAACACCTACAGAATGGGAGAAAATATTTGCAAATTATGCATGAGACAATGGTCTGATATCAGAATCTATACAGAACTTAACTGAACAAGTAAAAAACAACCCCATTAAAAAATGAGAAAAAAGGCCAGGTGCAGTGGCTCATGCCTGTAATCCCAGCACTTTGGGAGGCTGAGGTGGGCGGATCATGAGGTTAGGAGATGGAAACCATCTTGGCCAACATGGTGAAACCCTGTCTCTACTAAAAATACAAAAAAAATTAGCTGGGCATGGTGGCAAACGCCTGTAATCCCAGCTACTCAGGAGGCTGAGGCAGGGGAATTGCTTGAACCAGGAGGTGGAGATTGCACCACTGCACTACAGCCTGGGTGACAGTGTGAGATTCCATCTTAAAAAAAAAAAAAAAAAAAAAAACAAAACAGATGCTTCTCAAAAGAAGTCCTACAAGTGGCCAAGAAATATAAAAAAAGTGCACATTATCACTAATCAGCAGAAAAATGCAAATCAAAACCACAATGAGATACTATCCCACACCAGTCAGAATGGCTATTATTATTATTAATTAATTTATTTTTTGAGACAGAGTCTTGCTCTATTGCCCAGGATGGAGTACAGTGGTGCAATCTTAGCTCACTGTAACCTCCACCTCCCAGGTTCAAGCAATTCTCCTGCCTCAGCCTCCCAAGTAACTGGGATTACAGGCCCGTGCCACCACACCTCACTGATTTTTGTATTTTTAGAGACGGGGTTTTGCCATGTTGGTCAGGCTGTTCTCGAACTCCTGACCTTAGGTAGTCCACCTGCCTCCACCTCCCAAAGTACTGGGATTACAGTATAGGCATCAGCCACCATGCCCAGTCAGAATAGTTATTATTAAAAAGTCAAAAAAAACAATAGGTGCTAGTGAGTCTGCAGAGAAAAGGGAATGTAACAGTGGGGATGTAAATTAGTTCAGCCACTCTGAAAAGCAGTTTGAAGATTTCTCAAAGAACTTAAAACAGAACTACCATTTGACCCAGCAATCCCATAACTGGGTATATATCCAAAAGACAAAAAATCTTTCTACCAAAAAGACACATGTATGTGCATGTTCATCACAGCACTATTCACTATAGCAAAGACATGGCATCAACCTAGGTGCCCTAGCTGTTGGCACCTAGGATTGATGAGCACCTAGAATGGATTGCTTAAGGAAGAGTTCAAGACCAGCCTGGGCCACATAGCGAGACCTCATTGTTACAAAAATAAATTAGCCAGGCATACATCTGCAGTTCCAGCTACGAGGAAGGGTGAGGCAAGAAAACTGCTTGGGCCTAGAGGGTTGAGGCTGCAGTGAGCCATGACTGTGCCCCTGCACTCTAGGCTGGGTGACAGAGCAAGACCCTGTCTCAATAAATAAAAAATAAAATAAAACATAAAGAAACACAGGGAGAGAGAATAGTATCAAGGATGATAGTACTTATATCTAGATGGCAGAATTATTTAGGATATTTAATCTCTTTTTTATGACTTAGTTACAAGTTCTTATTTATTTATTTTTTTGAGACGGAGTTTCGTTCTTGTTACCCAGGCTGGAGTGCAATGGCGCGATCTCGGCTCACCGCAACCTCCATCTCCCGGGTTCAGGCAATTCTCCTGCCCCAGCCTCCTGAGTAGCTGGGATTACAGGCACGCGCCACCATGCCCAGCTAATTTTTTGTATTTTTAGTAGAGACGGGGTTTCACCATGTTGACCAGGATGGTCTCGATCTCTTGACCTCGTGATCCACCCGCCTCGGCCTCCCACAGTGCTGGGATTACAGGCTTGAGCCACCACGCCCAGCAAGTTCTTATTTTTTTTAAAATTGGGTACTATTTGCCTAATAAAAACTGTGTGTGTGTGTGTGTGTGTGTGTGTGTGTGTGTGTG